ATTTTCTCCATTTTGGCGCTAGTGATTTTCCTTCTAAAAATCCTTTTAAAAAGTGCTTCAAAATCGTCTTTTTTTCGCTCTGACGTCGAGATCCGGTTTTGGAGCTACAATTTCCGACGCCGTTGCGCGTAGTTCTTTTGTGCTTTGCAACTCAGTCTCTGCAGATCGCATTGTAATGGCTGCGTCAAGGTTGCTTCGTGCTGTGGCTGCATTCGTAATACTAATGTCTTTTGCAGCTGGATCTCGGAAATCGTCTTGGAGTGGCTGCATGAAGGCTGCGAAATGGGTTTGTTAGCAGATTTTCTCCATTTTGGCACTAGTGGTTTTTTTTGTTGGACGTACGTTTAGAGCAGTGTGAAGTGTGGGGCGTGAAGAGTGCAGTGTGAAGTGTGAAGTGTGAAGGAAGCAGTGGGAAGTGAGAAGTGTGAAGTGTGGAGTGTGAAGTTTCAGTTTGGAGTGCGAAGAGCGCAGTGTGAAGTGTGAAGTGTGAGGTTTGGAGTGTGAAGGAAACAGTGAGAAGTGAGAAGTGTGAAGTGTGGACTGTGAAGTGTGAAGTGTGAAGTGTGGACTGTGAAGTGTGAAGTGTGCAGTGTGAAGTGTGAAGTGTGAAGTGTGAGGTTTGGAGTGTGAAGGAAGCAGTGAGAAGTGAGAAGTGTGGAGTGTGAAGTGTGAAGTGTGAGTGAAGTGTGGCGTGTGAAGTGCGAAGTGAGAAGTGTGAAGTGTGAAGTTTGGAGTGTGAAGTTTGGAGTGGGAAGGAAGCAGTGAGAAGTGAGAAGTGTGAAGTGTGGACTGTGAAGTGTGGAGTGTGAAGGGCGAAGTGAGAAGTGTGAAGTTTGGAGTGTGAAGGAAGCAGTGAGAAGTGAGAAGTGTGAAGTGAGAAGTGTGAAGTGTGGACTGTGCAGTGTGGAGTGCGAAGAGCGCAGTGTGAAGTGTGAAGTGTGAAGTGTGAAGTGTGAGGTGTGGAGTGTGAAGGAAGCAGTGAAAAGTGTGAAGTGTGGACTGTGAAGTGTGAAGTGTGAGTGAAGTGTGGAGTGTGAAGTGCGAAGTGAGAAGTGTGAAGTGTGAAGTTTGGAGTGTGAAGTTTGGAGTCGGAAGGAAGCAGTGAGAAGTGAGAAGTGTGAAGTGTGGACTGTGAAGTGTGAAGTGCGAAGTGAGAAGTTTGGAGTGTGAAGGAAGCAGTGAGAAGTGAGAAGTGTGAAATGTGAAGTGTGAAGTGTGAAGTGCGAAGTGAGAAGTGTGGACTGTGAAGTGTGAAGTGTGAAGTGTGGACTGTGAAGTGTGAAGTGTGAAGTGTGGACTGTGAAGTGTGAAGTCTGCAGTGTGAAGTGTGAAGTGTGAGGTTTGGAGTGTGAAGGAAGCAGTGAGAAGTGAGAAGTGTGGAGTGTGAAGTGTGGAGTGTGAAGTTTGAAGTTGGAGTGCGAAGAGTGCAGTGTGCAGTGTGAGGTGTGGAGTGTCGAGGGAAGGACACGGTCGGGACAGGTTGTCTTTGAACTATAGGTCATTTATGTTTGGGAAACTTCCGCCGCCGGCTTGCCCGGGTCTATGTTATGACCAATGATGAAGCATCATCAGCATATTTGGGTTTGTCGGCACAGCTTCCCGAAATTAGATGGTTCATCATCATCATCATCATCATCATCAACCACATGAAAATAGCCTTTTGTCGGTGTACCTCATTTTAAGACACACCCAAACATCAGAATCATTTCTATAACTCCCACTAGATCCCATTAAAATCCCCATCAACAATCCCATTAAATCATCAACTCACCACCTTTCAGGCTTAAAAACCTCCATTTTTCCTATCCTTAACCCTACCCCAGCCCACAGCAGCTCCCAGGGGGCACCAAAGAGGACATGTGCCAACTGCTGCGCCCGGCGCTTCAACGCCGGCAGCAGCGGCTCCGCGTCCAACTGGCTGCGGCTGAGGCCCTGCAGGGTATGCGTCAGCCTCGTCATGGGATGGGAGGAATGCTCCATGGGGATTTAAGCTAGAGAAGATTGGGATATGAGGATTTCTTGGGGAAACAATGATATATATATATATACTGGGATTCAGCCAGCACATCTGACTTTCGATTGGCTTAAGGGAAAACTCTGCAGGAAATCCTTTTTTTCGCCAGTGGGTCTCTTGTAAAAATTCTCATCTCATCTCATTGAACCATTGATGAAACTGGGCCAGGGTTCAGATTTTTCACCATCCCAACATGGCATAGAATGACCATGGGAGCACAAACATGTCAGGCGAATTTCGCTTCATGGTTTCATCATCCCTGTGGAGCAATGGGAGATGTCCCTCTGGAAACATCCACCGAAACCGATGACCGAAACCCAGCGCTATTTGAAAAACCTCCGTTTTTCGTTCAGGGATTCACCGCTGGGCCATGTGAAAGATTGCCGGAGGGTAAAACGAACCACCCGTTTTATTTTTTTCTTCTCAGCAAAAATCGACTATGTCCACATATTGTTCATGGTCATCGGCTGTGCAATGAGACGAGTTTACCTTGTAAAACTGAGGATGGCCTGTGATTTAGCTACAGACACTGGGTTACAACCGTTACAACCCACATAAGTTCGTTCATAAACCTCTAACAATACTAGTTCGATGTATCTACCATAAACCATACTTACTAGACTTATTTACACGAACTTAGCTATCGTTCCATTGGGGTCGCTATCGGCCAAATATTTTATACTAGAGTAATAATAATGATCCTAGTGAAAATGAATCGCCATAAAAACATATAAACTACATCGTCATTTTCTTTCTGGTTACAGCTTACAAAAATATATTTATATATATCACCTAATATATTTTTCATGGTTGCAGGCCATCTACCCTATGATAGATGATTTTCCCAGCTAGCCATGCTTCATTATCCTATTGTCTTCCCGTTAAATCCCATCAAATCCCTATTTGTTGATGGTTAAACGAAACCTCCATTTCCCAGCCATTTTTGACTACCGGAGGGTAAATCCATTATTCTATATGGATGTTTAAGACGATTCCATATGGGCTTAATATCATTTACCTTCCAGAATGGTGGGTTATTATGATTTACTTTCCAAAATGGGGATGGCTCGAAACCTATTAGTACCATATTTGCACACCTAGGGCACCAGGGTTTTGACTCCTAGCCAAATGGAGGTTTAACCATCAACAAGTAGAGATTTGTTGGTATTTCATTTGATGGGATGATAACCACACAACATGAAGGGTTTTATGAACAAGTTTAGCTGGAGTTCATAGAGTTGAATAGGGATGATAATGGGATAACCGGGATTTTAAGATAAGTGGATAAGTTCTTTGTGACATATATATATATGGGGTATATATATATATGGGGTATATATATATATATGGGTATATATATATATGATATATGGGGTATACATACATATATGCCGAGTATATTTGGGGTATAATTTCGGGATGCCCCGTTGAGCTTCAAGGGACTGCTTCGGCGAGAGCTCCGAGGCCACTTCCATGGCGCGTTGCGTCACGGCCGGCAGCAGCGCGGGGACGGCGTAGGAGATCTCGGTTTCCCCATGGTCCATGGAGATTTTTCTCGTAATTTCTATAGTCATTACCCTCTGGTGAACTAACATAGCAATTGGAAATGGCCATAGAAATAGTGGATTTTCCCATTAAAAATGGTGATTTTCCATAGCTATATGTTAAATTACCAGAGGGTATCTACAATGATGTCAAATGTATATATGTATAATAGTTGTCAAGATGCAAAATTTGGTGAATTCCGAATCTAACATAGAGATCAATGGCACTTTTTTGGGCATCGTTTTGGGAAAGAACTATATCATCGTTTGATTTTGTTCATAAAGTATACAATATAACCGGCTATTATATCTGACAAAAATTGGGATTGAACGATGAGAAGTGGAACGTACCCCAATGGCCATTTTGGAAGAAATGACGTCAACACAAAACACTTCAGTTACCCTCTGGTTATTTAATATAGCCATGGAAAATCACAATTTTTAATAGGTAAACCTCTATAAATGGGCCATTTCCCATAGCTATGTTAGATAACCAGAGGGTAATTGTTATTGGGAGATCATCCACATAAAATGAGGCCATCTTAGTTTGATACGCCACATTTTTTTGGATAAAACCAGTAATGGCGTGAACATGTCACGCACATGAGGGATTTGACGCGACCAAAAATACGTTTAAACAATGAACATGTTACTACAACAATTGACAGCAAGTGGATTTTAAAGTGCCAACACGCCGGAGGTGATGCGGCTACAAGGCGTCCTGTCAAATACTTGATTTTCTGGAAGTAATTGTCACAACTTACTGGTACTTAGTAAGGAATAGGGGAATGGGATTGGGATTATATTCTTGATACCAATTTCTGGATCCTTCCCCCATTCCCTACGTTTCGCACCATGTCTTTGGATCAGAACTTTCCGGTGCTATCTGAATGCCGGAGGATGGATGGGCATCCCATCCGAAAGATCAAGTGCTCTTCTTGTCTGATCCATATCTTTTTGCATATTTGTATAGAATATTGAATGGAACATCATGGGTTTTCTTTATTCAATATGGATTTTAATTATGAATTTTCATTCGCCAAAATCATAGGATCGTTACCTGCTAACTATTGAGAGACTGGGATGGGACCCACTTGTAACTGGTGGAATTCGCATCAGTATCTTGGGAGTGGAAAGTTTACAAACTTCTAGCTTTGGGGAGTGCTTTTTGTTAAATCTCCAAATGTTATAGGTACAAGTCCCCCTACTGTGGATGGTTGCGAAATCCGAATCACCAGTTCATAGGTGGTAAACATCCCATTATTTATAGGCTTTCTACCATCCCAGGTGCAGGATTTCGCAACCATCCACAGGATGAACCTTGAAATCAGCATTCTTCATCTGGTTGGTGGTATACCTACCCCCCTGAAAAATATGAGTTCGTCAATGGGAAGGATGGCATCCCATATATGAAATGGAAAATACTATCCATGTTCCAAACCACCAACCAGATGTCATGGAAGATATAACCCAAAAGATCATGAACACCCCCCCAAAAAAAGCCATGAAATCCCGTACTATTCCTACAAGGTGGTGCCCCCCAGTTATGTTTGTTGGTTTATAATCCCATTAACTAGTTCGATATATCACCAACAAAAAACCATAGTGAAATTGGAGTTATGTTCACCAACTTAGCTATCGAACGGGGGCACCACCTTGTATGAAACACCAGTTCATGGTTGGTTTATAGTGATTCCCCCCTTTAAAAAAAGGCCATGGCACAGGCGCAAAGACTTGGAAGGCCACTGACACCTCTTTCAGAAATGGATGGATTTCGGTGGGGCTGATGGGGACCCCAAACAAGCCATTTATTGTAGGGAAATGTAGGGAACATGGTGATTACCCTCTGGTAAACGTTTACATAACTATGGAAAGATCCACCATTTTCTAGCTGGGTAAATCCACTATTTCTATGATGATTACATGGAGGTTTCGATAGCCATGGGGGTCCCCGACAACGCTGGATGGTTTATCTCCTGGAAAATCCCAATCTTAAAAGGATAATTACCCTTTGGTAAACGTTTACATAACGAACTGGAAAGATCCACCATTTTCTAGCTGGGTAAATCCACTATTTCTATGATGATTACATGGAGGTTTCGATAGCCATGGGGGTCCCCGACAACGCTGGCGTTTGGTTCTATATCCTGTGTTTTTTTTACGGGCGCCCGGGAAAACTCCCCAAGTCCGTTTTACAAAGGAGATCAGTACCTCTTGGGTTTTTTAACGTTTACATAACGAACTGGAAAGATCCACCATGCTATTCATGGGTAAATCCACTATTTCGACCGGGCCATTTTCAATAGCTTTTTGTAACCAATTACAAGAGGGTAAGCAATGGATTGGTAACGAATTTCGAGACTGCGTTCTACCGTTGCTGGATGGTCAAAGGGAGATACAGCTACCATGGTGTCATCATGGCGCGTTAAGCGAGAAAATTGATGGTGCTGCATCCATTGGAATTGTGAGTGCTGTGTAAATCACCACAGTTTTTCGCTGCTGAAATACATTGGAGAGCAAAATCCCAGCAGAATTTTCGGTCATAATAAATTCATAACTCAAAACCTTGCGAGTTCAGTGGTTATGCATGATTATATATCTCAAAATGCGGCCTAGCCTTCGGATTTGTTGATGTGATTCATGACATGCGGCCTAAAAAATACCATCACGAAAAATGGCAACGTCATGCAACACACTTAGTAATCTAATCCCTTCCCCAGATCATATCAAATTCAGCTATTGGGGGCCTCATGTGGGGAGGATTTCGAAATCATCGTTGTAGGATGCGAGTACATCAATCTTGACTATCTAAATCGGAAAAAAACATGATCGCGCCGGCAAAATGCCTATTTATTTGGTGATTACTCTAGCAATCAATATTGTCCTTTCAGGAAAATAGAGGGCCCGGCTTGGTATATTATCATCGCCCTGTTGGGTGGAATCCTCTATCAACCAGTGGGAAAAGGATGTCTTGCTATAACCATCCCTTAGACTATCATGTTCAGAAACTCAACTTGTAACTCCAACTCGCTCCCAGCGTCTTTGTAAATGGAGGTTTCCCAAAATGGGGGTACCCCAATAGCTGGATGGATGGTTTAGAAAGTCTAGAATGAACCATCCTATAAAAATGGATGATTTAGGGCTATCCATGGCTATCCCTATTTTAGGACCCCCTCCCCATATGGATCCCATATGGAGACCCATCGACGCGACGCGACAGCGACGCGACAAACCTCGTGTGCGCCCATGTCTCCAACCTTTCGCTGCAACATCTCCTGGGGATGGGATGGTTTGCACATGATGGGCTTTTCCTAATATGTGGTTAATATGTAGTTAATATATGGTTAATATATGGTTAATATATGGTTAATAGGTGGTTCTTATACTGTTAATAATGGTTAATAATATTCTGGTTGGTTAATGATGGTTATTGTATGGTTACTATTAATATACTATTGATGGTTAATGGTTACTGTTAATAATGGTTAATATTAATGGTTATTATATGGTTAATGATGGTTAAAAAAAACTGGCTGGTGGTTAAAACACCATCTTGAAAAATGATGGAGTTCGTCAATGGGAAGGATTATCTCATATATGAAATGGATTTATGGGAAATAAAACATGTTTGAAACCACCAGCCAGTTATGTATGATAGTTTACTGGGCATGTGCCACTAGGCGCCATCAAGTTGGTTAAGTGGATTTGGTCCCTAAGACATTCAGCCAAACAGTGAAGTATCATGGCATTTTTGGAGGGATTTTTTTGGGATCATTTCATGGGAATTTCCTGATATCCAATATGAATCATTTATCACAGTTCAGGATCTTTTGAATATCCTTGGGGGATATTTTCATCGCGGCACTCGTCAGGGGCTCATCCAGCAGGGTTTAGGGTCACAGTTTTTTCACATTTTGGAAATCCAGCTAACTATGGAAAGATCCACCATTTTTAATGGGTATGATGGCCATTTTCAATAGCAAACTGTTAGTTTACCAGAGGGTAGGTATGATGCCAACATCCCGCCCCTTCAAAAAGAAACCTCCATGGCAGCTATGGCAGCTATGGATGGAAGCGTTTACCCCTTCCTATCATTCTGTTCTGCTCCTGCCAAAAAAGGGGTTGGAAGATTAGTTTCCACGACAAAAAAACATCTTCTATAGATCCTGAAAACCATCATACCTATGGGAAATGGTCAACTTATAGATGATTTTTGATGGTTTACCTATCAAAACCCATGGCTATTTTCAGTCCATGTTAAATAACCAGATGGTCATCAACCAACACTCAGCACAGCGTCCGCCAAGTCAGCCAAGAAGTCGGCTTCCGCACAACCTGCCTGCGAAGTAACCACGGGATCTTGAGGGAGAGCTACCAATCAAAACGATCACAATGTGGGGCCCCCAAGGTAGCTAAGTTGGTTAACTACAATCACTGTTGGGTTTATGGTTGTTAACTATAGTTGTTTACTATAGTTTATGGTTTCAAACAGATATCATATAGATTCATATAGTCAATTGGGATCATCATCCCATTTTTAGCGGGAAGCATTGAACAATTTGTTTCGCAGTTGAAACTAATCAGAATTCTTTCTCCTACCATCGTATGGGGTGTGCCAGAATGGGGGATACCCAATATATGACACTTTTATACAATTTTAATGGTAAAAATACATGGGACTTTGGAACTTTTCTATAACTTTCAGACCAACCCACAATGATATTGTGGGATAGATCCCCACTATACCCTGCTCGCTTATTGCTGTCTGATTGCAGAGCAGAGCTTAAATTGCAACTCGAAATCAGCAACCAGAATTCGTTCTCAGGTCATTTTCTTGGATTTGTATAAGTGAGCCATATACCCTCTGGTAATTTAACATAGCTATTGAAAATGGCCCAGTCGAAATAGTGGATTTTCCCATTAAACATGGTGGATCTTTCCACAGTTTTTTGTAAACGTTTACCAGAGGGTAACTATAAATGGGCCATCTATACCATGGCTATGTCAAAGAACCATAGGGTAAATCAACAAGTAACCTTAGAAATAGTGGAATTTCCCACTACAAATAGTGATTTTCCTATTAAAACAGGTGATTTTCCACAGTTTTTTGTTTAACGTTTACCAGGCCGGGTACAGTAGAAAATCCCAGGTGATTCTTGAGGGTGGATGTTTGACGAACCTTGGCAAAGCTTTCGGCAATGGTGCACAGGTCGCGGCAGTTGAAGTCCGAAATGAAGGATCTGATGCCAAGCGAAACGGGGAAAAACGCTACATAACTGTGGAAAGATCCACCATTTTTACTGGGAAAACTCACTATTTCGACTGGGCCATTTTCAGTATCCATGTTAAATTACCAGAGGGTACCTAGATTGGCCAAAGAAGTTGTTTTAACATTGGCAACCTGCAAATGATATGCTGGCTAGACATGGTCTATGAATCACAAAACATCCTGGAATCGTGGTTGGAATCTTTTTGGAGATCCCGATCTGTGGCCGGTGGTTGAGGGAACCCAAAAGCAATGCGGATCATCGTCTCATTTGTGATGTGATGAAGGAGATACGGGGGATTGGGTAAAACTTACAATACCACTTCAATGAACAACCAACATCAACCAACTATTTTTAGGTTCACCATGGTTCACCGTTGACGTTTTGACCCATGGCGACATCTTGAAGTTGTTCAACAAATCAGATGGTTCCGTGGAGTTTTGATGTCACTTCACACTTCACAGTTTCCAAAAACATCCCAAAGACGAGAGGTACAATCGAGAAATTTGCCGGCCGGCTCTTAGAAAACAGCACCCAACAAAACCAAAATCACATCCGCGCAAATCAAATACCAACCATCTGGGCCCCCCTGGACAAATTCAACTTTCGGGATGAGCGCTGCTGGGAGTGATCCCCCAAGCAGCTATCCATGCCCGCTTTTCATGCTTAAATCATGTTAAATCTGTATCTCTCAACCATTTTGTGGGCAATTTCCCAAAGTTCTTCATTGGTTACCCTCTACTAAACTAACATAGCTATGGAAAGATCCATCATTTTTCATGGGTAAATCAAATCCACTATCAACGGCCATTTTCAATCGCTTTTTGTATGTTTACCAGGCCGGGTCAATGGTGAAATCCCACCAGATTTCCGCTGTTTCACCCCAACAACCATCGAAAATTAGCCATCCTGGCTGTCCACCTGGCCGCGGGCATCAGGAAATCCTTGAAGACATCCACATCGCCTCGTCCCTCGCTCAAACTGCCCGCGAAGTGTACCTTAGAGGATCCAGCTGGGAAAAACCATGGGGATCCGGATGGGAAGTAAGCGATGTTTGATGGTCAACTTCGTCAACAAAACCATGTTTGTTTGGTTGAATTGGTTCCTGTATATGGATGTAACCTACAGAAATGATGTTTGATTCTCCATGCTGCAGACATTTAATGATTGTAATGGTCTACTGATGCTTAACATCATAGAAATGGAGGAATGAACGTATCTGGCCAGTTAGTATATATTTGGAATGACACGAACAAATGTATGGGGATGAAAGCAACCAATTTATGTTTATATGGTATCCATATTTGGGATGGAATGGATATAACCAGCACACATTGGTAATAAGATGTGTTTTTCTTTTAATGGGGGCTTTAATAACGGATGGGGGTTTACAGGGGATCTAACCAACAAAATGTAATAATGTTGGTGGTTGAAAGAACTCAGTAGTGGGTCTCCAAAAGTAGGGCCCCTTTACGACCTGGCGTATATTTTAGCCAGTGACATCCAGTGGGATGATCCTCCACTTCCTATACCTGAGCCTCAGCGGCATATACCACACCGCACCACGACCTTGAGAAATGGCAGTGTTGAAGACAAAACCATCTGGTTGATGGTTTCAACCTACCCATCTGCAAAACATGAGTATATGAGTTTGCCAGTTGGGGTTACTATTCCCAACTGAATGGAAAGTCAAAATCCATTCATGTTCCAGTCACCACCAATCAGCCATCTGTGGTGGTTTTATGCTCAGCCAAGGTGGTCGATGCTCGAAATCCGGCCAACGCCGATTTTTGATACGAGATGCTGGCACTGATACAACATCTTTGATGGAATTCTTGAGGGATGTTGAATTCCTTACACACCTTTAGATTCCTAGGTTCAAAAAGGATAATCAATTGAACGTAGGTTAATATCAACTGAAACCCTTACTAATTTTGAGATTTCCTTTCGTTTTAAAAGGAAAATCAATTGAAAGCCGGATGATATAAATTGACACCCTTTTTGAATCTTTATCCATTTTTAAAATTTAAAAGGAACATCAAGTGAAAGTAAATTGATATCCATTGAAATCCTTTCAAAAGCAGAATGACCAAGCACAAGCACGATCGGATTCTTGACCACAGCTTTGCTTTCTTGCGGCCTTACATGATTCTGATGCCCGGGCTCGGAACCATGCTCCAACAGACATGGAGAGTTCTCACTGGGGCGTGTTTTTTGAGGCGGCTAGAAACTGTCCGGTACTGGCAGATTTACAAAATAAGATGAGGATAAAAGGGATGTCTCTATGACTCTACCCCTGAAATTTAGATGGGTTATGATCAAATTTGCTTCTCAGCCGGCTAGAAGCCTCTGACAACTTTTTTCCGATTGCAAATATAGGTCATGCGCTTCCCAATCATGAAACTGCAAACTTCAGGTGTCTCATCCTCATCAGGGATGTTTTGGATGCAATCTCGTTTCGAAGATGTCCGAAGCATCTCGAGCAAACTGCTGGCACCAGACTTGGGGGTTGATGAAATAGGGTATACCCCTATGACTGGGATGATATAAAATGACCCGCAAATGGTTGCTTCTTGGAAACTCTTCCAAACATGTAAAATGGGGTCTACCGCATTGATCAGATGCTGACTTCCAGGTGAAGTGTTACTTTTTGAACACTGCAGCTGGGTACTATCTCTATCCAGAATTTTCTCTAGATTTTTGGATCCCTGCTTTTGGTTTTTCCTTTTCTCGAAATTGCATTGCTGCCCCACTTTTTGACCTATTCCGGGATCCAATGTCCTTCAAATCCACATTTTCGTTTCAACCTCTCAAATGTTCAATCCAACGCATTTAGTGCTGGTTTCTGGTTTAGATTCCAAAAAATGCTGCTTTTAACGATTAATCTCAGATTTTCAGACATTTTCCTTGGTTCATCACCAATTTTATCATTTTTGTCTCTTTGACACCCTTTTTTGGTGGTTCCATTGGACCATTCGCATCTAACAAATCGGTCGAGATGCTATGGCGCGAGGAGTGCAGAGGTGGATCTGATGACGGAGCACCTAAAACGAGCAGAAAACGATGAGTTTAGGAATGGCAATCACTTGCAAATATTGAGTTTATACTAGTGACTAGTGAGATTTTCCGATTGATTTTGCAGTTTACCCTCTGGTAGAAAATCACCAGTTTTAATAGGTAAATGATCTGCAAATGGGCCATGGCTTTCATAGCTATGTTGGATTACCAGAGGGTAATCGGATTTAGTGGGCTTGTGATGCTTTGATGGGAACTAAATTGGGTTGTGGGGGTATAAAACCAACAATTATAGGGATATAGTGGAAATCACAAATAGGGGATTTGTTGTAGAAGAACAGTGATTAGAAATGTTTATATCATGGGATGTATGCCAAACATGGGACTAATCAAGCCATTTTCGCAAAGACTAGCCTTCAGTACTCAAACAGGGCAATGGGACATCTCCCATGTACTTCGATGATTTTCCCATTTAGATGTCCATCTATAGGGGATTTCATGGGATTTCTCATTGCCATGTTTGATTACTGGAGGGTAATAGGCTTTTCACCTATGTCCTATATATATATGTAATGGGGAAATCATGGGGAACTTAACTACATCGTGATATAACGGGGATATACTGGGCTTTGAATGGTTTGATTGGAACTCTCTCTCTCTCTCTCTCTCTCTCTCTACGGCGAGCGAATATGGCCTTTTCGCAGTCGGCTGCAGCATCAGCCAGCTGCTGCATCATCGGAATTCACCACTGCATCCATTGCCGTGGGTGATTTGAGATATCCTCAGATTACGATGGCCAACTCCTACTGCCGATGATTGCTGGTATCACCATGGTTGGTGAGCCACACTTCATTTGTTCTTTCCTACCGCCATTTCAGCTGGGTTTCCTCATGTAATAGTAATGCTATACACCCCCAAACACTTGATCCCCTATCCGTCCCCCATCCACTCGCATTGGTGTATACACAACGTGCTCATTTCATCAGGGTCAAATCCGCTCAAACCCCTGGCCGTAAATTCCCAGTGTTTGAGATTTGTTGCATATCTGTATCTATATCCAATGTGTTTTCCCAGGTAAAGATTTCCAAGACATATCCATTAATTGTCAAATTCCACTCTAAATATTATGTGAATAACCCACCCCACAGAAGACAGAAAAGTACCATCCTACTACAGGAAAGGTGGCACCATCTCATTCCCCCATTCCAGAGGGTGGCACCTTCAGCTTTAAGTTGGTTTAGAACCCCCATTAACTACAGATATAAACCACCATAAAACCAACCTTGATTGGCGTTAGAAGCCAAATAGGCTATTTATCTACATCTACATCTATAACACCATATATACGTATATATATATATATATATACATACATTATATAATACATATACTCCATATACCCTCTGGTAATTTAACATAGCTATTGAAAATGGCCATTGAAATAGTGAGTTTTCCCATTAAACATGGTGGATCTTTCCAGTTCGTTATGTAAACGTTTACCAGGCCGGGTGATTTTCCACTAATAGATATACATATCTCTACCACACATCTCCATCCATCGCAGCACCTGCTCGGTGGCCTCCATCAATTTGTTGGGCGCCTGCCGCAGTGCCACCAGACTCTGCGCGGCCTTGGCCACGTCCTCGGGCGAGAGCTCCGTCAGGTCGCAGGCGCTTAGGCGCTTGGCGAGGCCTGGATGGTCGCTGATCACACGATATATGGCTATATTTGAATGCTTAATATGTGGTTAATATACTGTTAATAATATTCTGGTTGGTTAATGATGGTTATTGTATGGTTTTATACTATTAATATACTATTAACGGTTAATGGTTACTGTTAATAATGGTTAATATTCATGGTTATTATATGGTTCATGATGGTTAATAATAATCTGGTTGGTGGTTTCAACCTACCCCTCTGAAAAATGATGGAGTTCGTCAGTTGGGATGATGAAATTCCCAACTGAATGGAAAAATAATCCAAATGTTCCAAACCACCAACCAGTTTTTGGTTGCCTCAATATCCAAAAACATCCTGAAAACTAGGCCTAAATCCACTTCATTTGATGGTCTCCCTGAAAATGCGGGACTTCCAAATTATCCGACTGATTGGTTATTGCTCATTCTTGACAAGGGGAAACCAAGGACCTTTTGAGATACCCCTCATTACGATGCATTCCAAATATCTCATAGGAACTATAGTAACTACAGACATCAACGAAAATCACCCAGTTTTCCATGGAAATCCCCAAGTTTTCCCCAGTTTTTCATGGAAATCTCCAGGTTTTCCCATGGTTTGGGGTGACATCCCCAGCCCCAGGGGCTGCCCGCGCGCCTTGCGCCAAGGTCTCACTCTGGCTGCGCAACTTCACCAAGGCCGGCGCCAGCTGGGCGCAGGCTTCGGGGGGCAAATCCTGGATTTTCGGTCATGGGATAATCATAGGATAATAGCTGGCTTAAAAAAGCTGGCTTACAAGGTGATAATATAGTGGGCATATAATGGGAATATATATACATATAATATATACAATGTGAGGCCCCTGTTCGATAGCTAAGTTGGGGTGAACTAATCACTCCAATTTCACGAACTGGTTTATGGTACGCAAATAACGAACTAGTTTCTGGGGCTTAAAAACCAACTTATAACTGGGGGGGGTCACATTGTAGTATACATGCCATGAATGTGGATTATCTACTATGTATGTGGAAATATGGATTAACTTAATAAAATGGGATGATATATTCATATTGGATATCAACCATTATGGGATTTTAATGAAATAATGATGGGATAATCAATGGAATATATGGATTACTCTCCAGAAATTAAACATAGACCCTGCCAGATAGGGGTTGAAAGATTAGCTTCCACTAAAACATCGTTGTTTTCAGGGTCTATGTTAATTTACCAGAGGGTAAATCAAATGGGATAATCATAGGATAATGTGAATCCTGGATTAAGAAACCCTCACTGAATCCAGGGTTGACATTAATCATAATTAATCCGCTTATATAGTTGTTATTCTATGATCATCATAGTATTGTTATTCTTTTGAGTGCAAAATTCATGGGAATATCATGGGATTATCATGGGACTATGATGCTTACTTCCACTATATAATCTCCATGGGATTATATATATATATACACATTCAAAAACAATAGAATATACATGAACATATGGGTTGCCCTCCAGTAATATATGGATTTATGGATTATAATTTTAATAAGATGGACACGATGGATTGAATATCGATTATAAGGATCCCATGATAATATTGGTTGGGATTCTCATGAGCATATCATGGTGGGATTTTATATTGGGATCCAATATGTTGATATAGTGATAAAGTGATAAAATGGTGATATTGGGATTATCATAGTATCATTTATATCACTTTTATCACCATGATAATATATTTGGATTATCATTTTATATCATGGTGATAAAGTGATGAGATGATATGTTGATATAGTTAGCCAAGTTAGTTCATAAATCCTCTCGGGTATCCTGGATCTGGAAGATTCTGGCGCATATTAAACAGCCCGGAACCATAGGAACCATATATTAAAAGGGGATAAACCACATTCTGGTTGGTGGTTGACCTGCCCCTCTGAAAAATGATGGAGTTCGTCAGTTGGGATGATGAAATTCCCAACTGAATGGAACGTCGTAATTCATTCATGTTCCAAACCACCAGTATTAATTTGGGCCAATGGACCCACAGCATGGGTGATCAACGGATGGGATTGATGAACCACTTTGGGGACCAAAAGAATACTATCGGGTTGGCTTCAAAATTTGAATGGCATTGTAACAGATGGCATTGCTGCTTCTTTTGAAGGGAAACTACTAACTTTCTTCCATTTTTTCTGCTCACATTCTCATTCTTGTCGCTAGAAACCCACACGTGCTGGAAAAATATAACTACTAACTACTATTGTTGGGCCATATCCTTATTGTTGGCCGGCAGCGCCATGATTTCTTTTTGTATCCTCAGTGTCAATATCTCTATCCACATCTGCGTGCTGGTTGACTAGTGGCGTATTGCCCAATGCTTGTTGGTGCACCTCTACTAGTCGATTTCCGACCATCCTCGGAGTGCAGTTTGCAGATCTCTGTCAACGAAACCGGTTGTATCTCCATGGATTTGTACTATCAGCTGTTGTGTAATGGTGGTTGTGCTTCCCAGGTTTGTTGCTTCACTCCCCCAATCTTGTGCTTATTGAACTCATTCGTACTGTTGGGTGGCATATTTGGCTTATCCATTGCCATGGTCAAGACACTGTATGTGGTTTATCAATTCTCGAAATGGGTATCTAAACCCCTACCACTGGAGAAATTCCCATGAGGCTATCATATATGGGTATCTAAATATCATATATGTAATCATATAATATGAAATGGATTGATGACCATCCCCCAATATGAATATAAAATCCATGGCTCATTGCTACCCCAACCATCGCTGCAGAACATCGGTCCTGACTCTGCAATTCCAACATGGACACCTTCGAGAGGTGGTATCGGTAGCTGTGGAAGCCATGGCCCATGGCCCCATAAGTCGCACCATTTTATCTGGTTGGTGGTGCAATAACCATCTTGAAAAATATGAGTTCGTCAGTTGGGATAATTATCCCATATATGAAATGGAAAATAAAACATGTTCCAAACCACCATTATATGGAATGATAACATCATTTGTAACGATTTATAACTGGTGAAGGGCACAAAAACTGCATGGCCCAACATAGTTGATCATCCCACTGGATAATTCACAGAAACATGGTGTGCCGAGAATCATTTCTGGAAAAGTGTCCGCCTTATGACATTGGTGAGAATAATATAAATATAATTTTTATCTGGGCAGATGATTTTCTGCTTGTGGGCTGGTAGAATCCCAATTTTTAGCATCCCAGTGGCCAACCTTGGGGGTCATCATCCCAGGCATAAACCAGTGGCTCAATCTTACCATAGACAAACTCAATGGTTACCGTCAGCAATGGGAAATCCACCATTTTTCTGGGTAAATGAAATCATATTTCACTCACCTGAATTGTTCGGCCATAAAAGGGGATGATTTCCCTTGCTAAATAAACCATGATTCCAGGGTTCGGGAGAACAGTGAGGTCGTTATAATTTACCCAGATTTTTATAGTCATGCTCTCACCTCTAAACCTCCATTTACTTCAGGTATTTCCTATTGCCAGCCACGTTTCATGACACCGAAAAAGGCTAAATCCATCAATATCTCCCTATCATTTTCCCAATGATCATCCCTAAAGCCATAGAAAAGTCAGATCAAACTAGCATGAAGTATCCATTTCCCATGATCCTCTGGTAAACTACCAGTTTGCTATTGAAAATGGCCTAGTCGAAATAGTGGAGTTACCCATTTTCATAGCATGGTGGATCTTTCCAGTTCGCAAACTGTAAATGTTTACCAGAGAGTTTACTGCCAATGAATTCCCATACAATTCCCATAAACTTTTTATCTTGAATCCACTTGGTGAAATCCCCAAACCCTGAGATTCCCATCAAAGATGTTAAAACATAACTCCAAGAACTATGATGGCTATATGGTTATATGATGGTTCTATGATGGCTATATCATGGTTTATAGATGAATTAACGATGGATTAGTGATGAAACCATGATTCAACTGGTTCCAGTTTATCTGGTTGGTGGTTTCAACCACTCTGAAAAATATGCTCGTCAGTTGGGATCATTATTCCCAACTGAATGGAAAATAATTCAACCATGTTCCAAACCACCAACCAGTTTATGATGGGTTTACCACGGTTTACTGATGGTTTCTGCTGGAACTTTCCACCGCTGGGCCACCCCGACCAGGCTGTTCCGCAGCTCGCTGCCCACGGCGGAACTGAGGCGTTCCGGCACCAGGGCCAGGCTGGCCAAGAGCAGCGCGGCCTGTGAAAACAGGTGAAACCCAGCAGAAAAAGAGATTTCAACAGAAAATATGACAACTCACAGAAACTAGAGGTTAAAACCTAGAATCATGGGAATTCACCATTCAAAATTGGGAATTGAAGTAGATTTAAGTATCATTGGATGGGGGTTGAACCATTTAAGTATAGAAAACATGGGTTAAAGCCAAGAAAACAAAGATTTCATTATCAACATATCATCAACAAAAGGGGATTCAAGTGAGTGTCAGCATAGAAAACATGGTCCGCAATGTGGATGGTTGTAGAAGCCCGCTAGGAAAGAAGATGGAATCCACCATCTTAAATGGGACCCTTGCAAGCGTCTTGTCAGATGTACGAGAAAACGCCAATGACAAAGTAACTTCAACGTAACATCATGAATGTGCCACATGGAACGTTAACAGTTTCCTCACCCCCATCATCAACGTAACATCATCAAAGTATTGCAATGGAAACCAGCGTTTTACTCGTACAATTTTCGAGGCACGAGCACAAACAAGAACGGGATAAACCGACATTATTCATTCACCAAGTGGAAGTTTCTTAAAAACGGGGTACCCCCAAAATCATCCATTTTATCATTTGAATAAGATTTTCCATTGTAAACAATCTATTTTTGGGTACCCCCATTTATGGAAATCACCATTTTATTTGTGAATCTATCTCCCTTAGTCCCTGAAGTGGGCTCGCATCCTCGAAAACAAGTCTATTCATTTTTGGCATCTTAGAAGTGACAAAAATATGGCACATCCCCCAAAATCGAAATATCATTTCCATGTTCTAGTATCTCCTGAATATTTATGGCCTTAAAAAGCCATCAATTTTCCACTGGTTGGTGGTTGCAACCTACCCCTCTGAAAAATATGAATTAGTCAGTTGGGATCATTATTCCCAACTGAATGGAAACTAGACGACGGTTGGCCCGAGAGCGAAAAAGACGTTTTTCAAGCAGCTCTGAGTATGGTAGTCGTAAAAAATAGTCGGTGATAGGTTGGTGAATTTTATATGAGCTATGGAGGGGTAAGTTGTGAAAAGTAAGATTGATTAAGAGGATACATGTGACAACCCATGCATATGCACTGTGCTGCTTGGTAAAGGGCATCATATGACACGTGTCTTGCAACCACAGAGAGACATAGATAGAGAGAAAGGGAGAGAGAGAGAGAGAGAGAGGGGGAGAGAGAGAGAGAGAAAGAGGGAGAGAGAGAGAGAGCAGGGTCTTCTGTTGTTAGTATTGAGACACTATATTGCAAGACAATATATTAAAGATGTATTTTAGGCAGGCGAGACAAGTAGTATCAAGACAATATATTACAAGTACAAAACACTAGTTTGCATCCTATCCTTCGTATTGTTTTTCACACGCAGACGCTTTTGCACAGAAGCTGTTCCACACAGACGCATTTACACACAGACGCTTTTACACACAGAAGCGTTTACACACAGACGCTTTTACACACAGAAGCTTTTACACACAGAAGGTTTTACACGCAGACACTAGACACTTTTACACACATAGGCTTTTACACACAGACGCCTTTACACGCAGACACTAGACACTTTTACACGCATAGGCTTTTACACACAGACGCTTTTACACGCAGATGTTTTTAGACACACACACTTTCACACACAGAAGCTGTTACACACAGAAGCTTTTACACACAATCACTTTCACACACAGAGGCTTTTACACAGAGGCTTTTACACACAGACGCTTTTACACACAGACGCTTTTACACACAGACGGTTTTACACACAGACCCTTACACAGACACTTTGAAACACAGACGCTTTTACACACAGACGCTTTTACACACAGACGCTTTTACACACAGACGCTTTTACACACAGACGCTTTTACACACAGACGCTTTTACACACAGAAACCTTTACACACAGAGACTTTTACACGCAGACCCTTTTACACACAGGAGCCTTTACACACAGAAGCTTTTACACCCAGACGCTTTTACACACAGAAGCTTTTACACACAGACGCTTTTACACACAGACGCTTTTACACACAGGCGCTTTTACACGCAGGTGCTTTTACGCACAGAAGCTTTTACACACAGACACTTTTACACACAAACGCTTTTACACACAGACCCTTTTACACACAGACCCTTTTACACACAGACGCTTTTACACACAACACTTTCACACACAGAGGCTTTTACACACAGACGCTTTTACACACAGAGGCTTTTACACACAGACGCTTTTACACACAGACGCCTTTTACACACAGAGGCTTTTACACACAGAAGCTTTTACACACAGGCGCTTTTACACACAGACGCTTTTACACACAAACGCTTTTACACACAGACGCTTTTACACACAGACGCCTTTTACACACAGACGCTTTTACACTGTAGACCCTTTTACACACAGACGCTTTTACACACAGACACTTTTACACACAGACACTTTTACACACAACACTTTCACACACAGAGGCTTTTACAGACAGAAGCTTTTACACACAGAGACTTTTACACACAGACGCTTTTACACACAAACGCTTTTACACACAGACGCTTTTACACACAGAAGCTTTTACACACAGACTCCATTACACACAGACGCTTTTACACACAGACGCTTTTACACACAGAAGCTTTTACACGCAGACTCCTTTACACACAGACGCTTTTACACACAGAAGCTTTTACACACAGAAGCTTTTACACACAGACGCTTTTACACACAGACGCTTTTACACACAGACACTTTTACACACAATACTTTCACACACAGAGGCTTTTACACACAGAAGCTTTTACACACAGGCGCTTTTACACACAGACGTTTTTACACACAAACGCTTTTACACACAGACACTTTTACACACAGACGCTTTTACACACAGACGATTTTACACACAGACGCTTTTACACACAGACGCTTTTACACACAGACGCTTTTACACACAGACACTTTTACACACAGACACTTTTACACACAATACTTTCACACACAGAGGCTTTTACACACAGAAGCTTTTACACACAGAGGCTTTTACACACAGAAGCTTTTACACACAGGCGCTTTTACACACAGACGCTTTTACACACAGACCCTTTTACACACAGACGCTTTTACACACAACCGCTTTTACACAGTGGGACGACCCCTTTTACACACAACCTTTTCAACCCAGACAAAAGAAAACTGCACACAGAGGCTTTTACACACAGAAGCTTTTACACACAGAGGCTTTTACACACAGAAGCTTTTACACACAGGCGCTTTTACACACAGACCCTTTTACACACAGACCCTTTTACACACAGACGCTTTTACACACAACACTTTCACACACAGAGGCTTTTCCACACAGAAGCTTTTACACACAGAGGCTTTTACACACAGACGCTTTTACACACAGACGCCTTTTACACACAGAGACTTTTACACACAGAGGCTTTTACACACAGACGCTTTTACACACAACACTTTTACACACAGACGCTTTTACACACAGACGCTTTTACACTGTAGACCCTTTTACACAGAGACGCTTTTACACACAGACGCTTTTACACACAGAAGCTTTTACACACAGACTCCTTGACACACAGAGGCTTTTACACACAGAAGCTTTTACACACAGGCGCTTTTACACACAGACGCTTTTACACACAGACACTTTTACACACAACACTTTCACACACAGAGGCTTTTACACACAGAAGCTTTTACACACAGGTGCTTTTACACACAGACGCTTTTACACACAGACGCTTTTACACACAGACGCTTTTACACACAGATGCTTTTACTTTTACACACAGACGCTTTTACACACAGACGCTTTTACACACAGACGCTTTTACACACAGACTCCTTGACACACAGAGGCTTTTACACACAGAAGCTTTTACACACAGGCGCTTTTACACACAGACGCTTTTACACACAGACACTTTTACACACAACACTTTCACACACAGAGGCTTTTACACACAGGCGCTTTTACACACAGACGCTTTTACACACAGACGCTTTTACACACAGACGATTTTACACACAAGCGCTTTTACACACAGACGCTTTTACACACAGACGATTTTACACACAAACGCTTTTACACACAGACGCTTTTACACACAGACACTTGTACAGAAACGAAAGCGTCCATCGCAATTTTGCCTCAGTTTTTGACGTCCAACGTCCATTTCGTGCGAAAGGGTTACGATTGACCAAGTAAAATCACAATTTTTCCTCAGTTTTTGATGTCCAACGTCCATTTCGTGCGTAAGGGTTGCGATTGACAACTCAAAGTCGCAATTTTTCCTCAGTTTTTGACGTCCAACGTCCATTTCGTGCGAAAGGGTTGCGCGCGACACCTCAAAGTTGCTTTTTTTCCTCAGTTTTTGACGTCCAACGTCCATTTCGTGCGAAAGGGTTGCGCGCGACACCTCAAAGTTGCAATTTTTCCTCAGTTTTTGACGTCCAACGTCCATTTCGTGCGAAAGGGTTGCGCGGGACGCTTCAAAGTCGCAATTTTTCCTCAGTTTTTGACGTCCAACGTCCATTTCGTGCGAAAAGGTTGCGCGGGACACCTCAAAGTCGCAATTTTTGCTCAGTTTTTGACGTCCAACGTCCATTTCGTGCGAAAGGGTTGCGCGCGACGCTTCAAAGTCGCAATTTTTCCTCAGTTTTTGACGTCCAACGTCCATTTCGTGCGTAAGGGTTGCGCGGGACACCTCAAAGTCGCAATTTTCCTCAGTTTTTGACGTCCAACGTCCATTTCGTGCGAAAGGGTTGCGTTTCGTGGCGCTCCGGCGGCACCGCCCCCGCCTTAAGAGAGAATAGAAGAAGAGCGAGAGGAGATCTGCAGATGTGAAGGTGTGAAGATCTAGATCTGCAGGTGTGAAGGTGTGAAGATCTAGATCTGCAGGTGTGAGGGTGTGATGTTGTAGATCTGCAGATGTGAGGGTGTGAAGATCTAGATCTGCAGGTATGAGGATGTGAAGATCTAGATCTGCAGGTGTGAGGGTGTGAAGATCTAGATCTGCAGGTGTGAAGGTGTGAAGATCTAGATCTGCAGATCTGAGGGTGTGAAGATCTAGATCTGCAGATGTGAGGGTGTGAAGATCTAGATCTGCAGGTGTGAAGGTGTGAAGATCTAGATCTGCAGATGTGAAGATCTAGATCTGCAGATGTGAGGGTGTGAAGATCTAGATCTGCAGGTGTGAAGGTGTGAAGATCTAGATCAGCAGATGTAAAGGTGTGAAGATGTAGATCAGCAGATGTGAGGGTGTGAAGATCTAGATCAGCAGATGTGAAGGTGTGAAGATGTAGTATAACGGCTGCTTTTTTACGAAGAACCCTTCGCAGGCGCTCTCGGGAAAAAACATGTTCCAAACCACCAACCAGATATGTTAATGGGTTTACCATAGGTATATCAATGGAAAACCACCATTGGGGATTATAGCCATAGAAAACCATCAATTTTCCATCATTTTCCACCGAAAACCTCTCCGTCGCACCTGGGCCTTGGAGAAGTGCCCCAACTTCTCCTGACTTCGTCGGAGCAGTTCGTCCGCAGCCGCTGCCTCCACGGGTCATTGGAAAAATTCCCCAGCTTTGTTGAAAGATTTGGTGATTTAACGGTCATTTGATGGGATTTAATGGTGATTTAATGGTGACTGAAGTTGCAATTACCCTTAGACCAGTGAGTGGGTGAATCAACTTCATTGGTTTCGAGAGCCCAACAGTTAGGATGTTGGGTGCAATTCAGGCGGAATCTTATGGCCATGGTTTCGAAACTTGAAATTGGAAACGTCCAGCAGCAGATGAAAGCGGCTTCGCTGATTCCAGCTGGCTATACGTCCTTGCCGGATCAACTAGCGATTTTTGTGGATAAACGACTATCACATCTTGATGCTGTTGCTCAATGAAATCAGGGTTTTGGATGCAATTCAACTTGCGTCGATGGTGAAATCTTCATTCTGGCGAGCTATCCCACAGTTCTTCTAGGTCAAGATCTCTATTGGCTTTTAACAGTATCTTTAACAGCTCTCATCCCAACGTATGTAGAATAGTTTATGCGTTTTCATACTTCGAATCCCAATCTGATTCATGCTTGGATAATCCTCTAACTATCTAATTTCTATTCATATAAAATTTCATATCTGATCATGAAAAGCATCTAAGCAATAGCTTTTCATCCAATCTCAGGTGGGTGGAATCCTAATCCAATTCCCCAGCATTTTTCCAATCACCATGTTCCATCACTTTTTCAATGGATGGTCCATCATTTTTCATCACTTTTCCAATTTTTTTCCACCATTTTCCCCATCCCCAAGCGTTCATTTGCCCCCACCGTCGCATGCGCAGCGTGGAGGCTCAAGGTGCCCAAACGCCCCAAAGCAGCACTGCCGGAGCAGAGGATCCACACCTGGATGGGGATTTTGTACGTTTTTCATGGTGGTTTCATGGAAAATATAACCAAACAGATCATGAAAACCTCCATGAAATCACCAGAAAATCAACATGTTCATGGGGATATGGAGCTTTCAAACATATGGAGCTTTCATGGTGATATAATGGGGATTTTATGATGATTTTATAGGGATTTTATGGCATTTAATCAATGATATGGGATATGATGGGATGCAGAAGCAACACTATGATTTTTGAGATAAGAACCTGAAATAACTTGCTGGTGCTCAGTAGGGAATGAGGGAATCGGATGATGGTTACTGTAATAATAATCGTGGATTGGGTCCCCCATTCCCTACGAAGCACCAGTAAGATAACGTTTTTTCTTTAAACAAATCATGATAATGCCGCTTGATCCTTGCTAATCATCATGATAAGGTGCTTTTAACGGTGTTTTAATGGTGCTTTTTTGGTGATTTTATGGTGATATCATGGAATTTCAAGGGATATTAAAGTGATTCCATATGCGGTTTAATGGGATTTCCTGGGATATATCAACATAAAAACAAGATTCTCATGGCTATTTTTTAAAGCATCGATTACTAAATGGGAGGTTTTCAAGTTCATACAGATAATCGCTTCATTGCTCACCCAATCAGTAGGAAAGAGCCGGCTGCCGCCTTGGATGACTGATGACCACTCCGACATCGCCGGTTGATGCAGGTTCACATGCTCTAAAAGTTGGTGATTTCATCGAGAGAAATTGGGAATTCATCATCAAAAAATGGGGTTTGAAATGGATTTAAGTGGATTGAAACAATTGAATATTCGTTTATTTCCCATCATAGTAGTACATCGAATAGATCCCATCCAGTGATGATTGAATAGGATTTTATCCAGTTTTAGAGGTATGACGGCAACTTGACGACCTTCAGATAAATTCCAAATAGCGAAATATCTTGGGCCAAGGGGTGGATGGATCAAGGTCCATATGCATATGTATTATATGGGGTGTAGGCGGGTTTAAGATAAGGATTCACAACAGCAAAAAGAGGAGATTACCTGAAAAAATGGCTATGACTCAGTGATGATCCAGCTTTCTCTGTGATGTTAAAACACATCTATTTAAACTTGCGGTACAATCATGGATGGTAATTGATAGGCAAGACGGTTGTGGTCGAAGCACTGAGTCTTGATCCAGTCATAAGCCAGCCATAGGGGCTTGATGAGGTATCCTCGAAAACAAGTTGCCACAAACAAACTACCATGATATGGAAAATCCATGGCTTCTGGGAATATTCTGATCATATTCCCATCATTTTATTGTTATCATTGTTGCTAGTGCTATTGTAATTTCCATTATCAGCATTACTATTCTTGTCTCTTTTTCTCATTTCTTATTCTTGTTGCCATTGCCATTACCATTCATCCAAACCACCTCCCCATCCACCCACCCATCCATCCATCCGCCCTTGCCTCCAGATGCTGGGCATGGTCCTGTAACGCTTGGACCATCCCCTTGAGCCGCTGGTCCTTCAGGATGGCTGCCTGGAGAACCAGCAATGGCTTAGCCGCGTGGTGAAAAGGGCGCTTCACTAAGGACAAATTATGGCCTCACTAAATACTATCCAGTGGTTACTAGGTGGACAACAGTGGTTACTAGGTTCACTTTAAATACTCTCCAGTGATTTACCTAGCAACCACTGCTTATTTCGAAAGCGATGTGGCGAGACCCGTTGCGGGCCGCCCAGATAGGGTCTCCCCAACCACCCAAGCTCCTGAACATCATTGGCTCCAGCAAGGTTTAGTAAGAAAAGGTGATTTAACCAACGGAAATGGTTGTTAACTATTGGAAATGCTGGTTTAACTGATAGAACATGCTGGTTTAAGAGGTAAAGATGCCTGGTTTGACCAATCCATACGGGGAACCATCAAGTATGATGAAAAACATGGCATTTCTCCACCAACAACAAGGGAATTGAATAAACACAAAAACATGTGATTTCAGGATTTATGATAGATCTATCATGAGTCTCTGTTGTTTTCCAACTATCTAATTTTTGAATTTATGGTGTGTATAATCGGTTTATATGGCTGGTTGAACACACGCCACAATTTGCTGGCGGCCCTATCTGGTACCCAGTGATTCGGGGTTTGCCATGGGAGGTCAGCAGATAGAGTAGCCTGTCTTGGAACGCGAATATCGAGCACATTTGTTGAAAGAAACAATCATATGATATATTCGGATAATAATTTAATAATTCACTAACATTGAAAAGGTTAGTGATTTTGGCACAGTTAATTTTGGTTCTGGAGAAATGGTACCCTGGGTACACACACATTAAATCCCCTCCTGTTCATATCAAAATGGCTGACATTTATGGATGTTCATCAATCCAGAGCTTGTATTATAGGTTTGACCGACCCATGTCCGTATAGCATTTGCATTCCAATAACATTGAAAAATCAAAGCGTCGTGAAGAGGCTACCATCTTTTGTGGGTGTTTTGGGACAGCTTTCTACCCAGCGAAAGACCAAGCATAAACTCCAAACTCCTGAACGAATCGCCAATGATAAGAACCTGGCAAATGCAACACTATTTACAAGGGTTTACCCTCTGGTAAACTAAGATAACTATGGAAAATCACAATTTGTAATGGGAAAATCAACTATAAATGGCCATTTTCAATAGCTATGTTAAACTACCAGAGGGTATATGAAAATACTGCTAAAAATTTAGTGGTTTCTCACTTTTAGAAAATCCTTTTCCACATTGGCCATCAGTTGCTAAAATCATCATGTGTCTGTTTTCAACCCCGAACCTGGGTTTGGAATCTTTCCTTCTATTCATTTCAGGTACCAAAGAACGAGATATTCAAACCGTCGTGTATTGAGATTCCCAATCTCAAGGGTCAAATACATGATATATTCGGTTTAAGTCTCAGAAATCCCAATCTCATGGGTCAAGCTATAGTAGAGAACCACACATCATATTCATTATTATGGGGGTCGGACAAAACCTATAGCTACTTTTTCTGGGATGAGCATCTATTCTTTCAGCTATTTTTGAGGTTCACTACCAGGGTGCCATGACCCAGCCATTTTTTTGGAAATATTACTGAATGTGTGTATACATCTATACGTATGTATAGTGGATATGAATGGATATGTCAATGGATTTACCTGGGTTTAAAGGATTGTTTAATGAATATATTACTGAATATAATAACCCCAATAAAACTGGTAGATAATGGGAAAATGATCTATAACGTGGCTACGCCATGTTGCTTCAGTATGGAAACAAAGCGTCCACAATCAGGATGTTGGGTGCCAGTCGTGAGTCGACACTCGGCGGTTTTCTTGTTGGTAAATTGATAGCGCTATATGACATCAATGTCCCGACCTTCAAATTGAAGCCTCACATGCAACAATCTTCCAACATGAATTTCACGCCACCTGATAATAGGATATAAGGATTAAACCTAGGGGACCTATAACCATAAGATGATAAGGATTCAGTAACTGTCAATTGATATAGTGGATATGTTAATGGATATCTCATGGGACAATCATCTATTTTCCAGCTCTTCAATCCCATCTGTTTTATTGTTGATTCGTGGATGTTAATGGATATAGTGGATATGTTAATGGAACCACACATCATATTTATATATATACCCTGTTGTTATTTAACATAACCATGGAAAATCATCATGTTTAATAGGTAGACCATCTATAAATGGGCCGTTTTCCATGGCTATGTTTAGAGGGTACATATTATATCCCATATAGCTGATATATCCTCATAAACCTGGGTTTAAGGGATTTGTTGAATTTATGTATACATATATCCATATAATCCAAGTAATCTAATCAAATCTACCCTCATATCCCATTAAATCCCAATAACAAAACCAATAAAATTCCAGTTTTTCCAGCCTTGCGTGGACCTGCAGCTTGGCGTGCTAAGATCTGAAGCGCTAAGGCCTAGGGCCGTGGCAGGTTCTTGGAGATGGGATTCAAACAATGTGTGTTTCTATGTGTGTACATAAATATGTATATATATATAAATGTATATGTATATGTACACATATATGTACAGATGTATATTCAACAAAATTTATCGATCGATCTATCCCAATCGAACCTCCAATCTTTTCTCAATGGGAGACATCAGGAACTATGCTGTGAAGGTAAAAAGGTGATGGCATCACCAAACGATGGGGATGCAGCCAATAAGCGGGAGAACATTGGGACGCAACAGGAAAACAAAAGGGAATTCACGAACTGGAGGTGGAAACCCCAAAAAACATCTAACAATGACATGGATGTATTTCACAGCAGAAGGCGAGAGATAAGAGAGATAAACACTAGGAATGTTACTGTAATCCACAAGTGTCGAAAGGGATTGGAAAAAATGCCTGCTGTTGTATGGGGCCCTTCAAGAATCCCATCCTAATGCAATTTTCCCCTGGCCAAGGAACAAATCCAAGGACTTCAGTATATGGCCGGGGGGAAATGGTGGGCACGAAGCGGAGGGCGGACTCGGGCACTTAGCTACCGCTTGGCTTTCAACCACCTGGGCTTGTGGCACCATGTGCCGCCTTGGTCTTTCAATCGAGTTTCCGCTGCCAGCAACTGACGCATGGTCGGTGACAAAGTGCTTTTCGGTGAGGCGAATCTGTGCGGAACCAGTCTTCCGGGCCGTATCTCCATTTGAATTCTGTGATGATCATACAGCCAAATAAGACCCACTTAAGTCCCTGTCTCTTGATGATTGAATCACCATCTGTTGCTGGTCTAATCCCTATTCTTGGTGAAACATTCCCGTTTTTTGCCGGTTTTGATCTAAAACATATTCTGAACTGGTTAGTTAGCTTTTAAAAACCCCTTTGTGGCAACAGATTCATGTACTGAGCTATTCATCATGGACCCTGCCTTCTGGTGTGGACATGTGGGTGTCACACTGGAAAAAATCTTATTATCCCAGTGTCTATGACCTACACTGGAGCCATCCGTTATTATTCCGAGGTGATCCACATCCAGAATAATTTGTTTTTTGATGCGAATTTCTTAACGGCATCTTGTCTTTTGCAACTTTAACCCGTGATGTATCTTGTACAATCTGCAGAAAGCTACAGCTTCTATTTCTAGCTTGACCGACAAAGGTCGAGAAACTTAAAACCCAATTTTAACAAGTGACCTGAGGAACCGTTTCTTGACGGCAAAAACGGTTCCTCAGGTCACTTGTTAAAATTGGGTTTTAAAGCGTCTCGGCCTTTGCTGGCTCAAAACAACTTCCGTCATTTTGCCAGCAAAGGTCGAGAGCATTGTACCAAAAAAAAGTATAGTATAGTAGTATAGTGGATAGATTCTGGGATGGCTAGGGTTGGGCACAGTATAATGAATCGACTCTATTGAATGATATAAATTGATTCAACATCATAATTACCTTGCCCAACCCTAATTGGCTTCGAATCCCCCAGCATATTTGCCACGATTCAGTTTATGTTCAGATTGGATTAAACTGTGTGGTTGAAAATTGGACCTTCCCCAATCTGTTGAACCCCAAATTTTCGCGGTTACCCCGTCTTTGTGTTGGTTAAATCATGTGAATTTCAGATTTGGTCAAGTTGGTTTGATGAATCCACGTGCAACCTTGGTATCCAAAATCTCCATGGACATCGTTGCCGGCCCAGCCAACCACAACCAAAATGGGAAGAGTAGGACGATCTTGCAATCGGTTCTCTCTTTCAATCTTCTCCATGAGTTCCCAAATCTGGTGATTGATGGCGCTGAGGCCTTTTCCCCATTTGAGGCCAGGATACACCGTCCGAATTTGGTTGATGGCATAGTCCTTAGTTTGGAGCAACTCGCCAAAAGATAACCTTGAGCACAAAGTGGGACTGTCGTGATTTGCAACGAAGGCGAAGGAAGAATCTCCGACCATGATCAGGTCGGCCTCACTTTCTTGACGGCAAAAATGGTTCCTCAGGTAACTTGTTAAAATTGGGTTTTAAAGCGTCTCGACTTTTGCTGGCTCAAAACAACTTCCGTCATTTTGCCAGCAAAGGTCGAGAAGCTTTAAAACCCAATTTTAACAAGTGACCTGAGGAACCGTTTTTGCCGTCAAGAAACGGTTCCTCAGGTCACTTGTTAAAATTGGGTTTGAAAGCGTCTCGACCTTTGCTGGCTTAAAACAACTTCCGTCATTTTGCCAGCAAAGGTCGAGAAGCTTTAAAACCCAATTTTAACAAGTGACCTGAGGAACCGGTTCTTGACGGCAAAAACGGTTCCTCAGCTCACTTGTTAAAATTGGGTTTTAAAGCGTCTCGGCCTTTGCTGGCTCAAAACAACTCCCGTCATTTTGCCAGCAAAGGTCGAGACGCTTTAAAACCTAATTTTAACAAGTGACCTGAGGAACCGTTTCTTGCCAGCAAAGGTCGAGACGCTTTAAAACCCAATTCTAACAAGTGACCTGAGGAACCGTTTTTGCCGTCAAGAACCGGTTCCTCAGGTCACTTGTTAAAATTGGGTTTTAAAGCGTCTCGACCTTTGCTGGCAAAACGACGGAAGTTGTTTTGAGGAATTTTGAATGAGTAATGCAGTGAAAATGCATTCATCACCAGCCTTCTTCCCCCAAAATTCCAAAAGTTGAACCGTTTGATGATATGTTATAACACATAATTTCACGCATTTTGAAAGTCTATATATCAAAATTATTCTAATGTCTATCCACATCGCGTTGTTTCTTTTAACCAAAATTATTCCAATGTCTATCCACATCGTGTTGTTTCTTTTAACCAAAATTATTCCAATGTCTTGCCACCTACACTTTGCCCATAGTGCCTGAAAATAGTTCCAAGGAAATTATTCTGAAAAATTATTCCTAGACCTAACCTCCACATCGGAATAATTTCGGATGGCAGGGGTCATTATTCATCTACATGGTTGGCCCCGTCATCTTATCGCCAAGTTCCACCAAAATCATAGTTATTGGCTAGACCCCAATGTAATGATCGATCACTTCCAATAATATGCATGCAACTACGGTGATTTGCAGCTGTTATATCTAATATCCCAGAGGGCGCGTATTGGGGCTGGATTTTGATTTTGGAAGAAGCGGTCTCTTGCGGTCACTCTAGTGGCTGCGTCTCGTGCGGTCACTTGGGGTCACTGGAGTGGCCGCGTCTCTTGCGGTCACTCGCGGTCATTTGCGGTCACTGGAGTGGCCGCGTCTCTTGCGGTCACTTGCGGTCACTGGAGTGGCCGCGTCTCTTGCGGTCACTTGCGGTCACTGGAGTGGCCGCGTCTCTTGCGGTCACTTGCGGTCACTGGAGTGGCCGCGTCTCTTGCAGTCACTTGCGGTCACTGGAGTGGCCGCGTCTCTTGCGGTCACTTGCGGTCACTTGCGGTCACTTGCGGTCACTTGCGGTCACTTGCGGTCACTGGAGTGGCCGCGTCTCTTGCGGTCACCTGCGGTCACTTGCGGTCATTTGCGGTCACTGGGGTGGCCGCGTCTCTTGCGGTCACCTGCGGTCACTGGAGTGGCCGCGTCTCTTGCGGTCACTTGCGGTCACTGGAGTGGCCGCGTCTCTTGCAGTCACTTGCGGTCACTGGAGTGGCCGCGTCTCTTGCGGTCACCTGCGGTCACTGGAGTGGCCGCGTCTCTTGCGGTCACTCGCGGTCACTTGCGGTCACTTGCGGTCACTTGCGGTCACTGGAGTGGCCGCGTCTCTTGCGGTCACTTGCGGTCACTTGCGGTCACTTGCGGTCACCCGCGGTCACTGGAGTGGCCGCTGGAGTGGCCGCGTCTCTTGCGGTCACTTGCGGTCACTTGCGGTCACTTGCGGTCACTCGCGGTCATTTGCGGTCACTCGAGTGGCTGCGAATGACCGCGTTATCCAAAATCAATTTCTGCACGTCCTGCGTGCTCAATGTAAAACTTACTCTGTCTTGCTTAAATCATTTCTATTG